GGGTTCGATGGAGCTAGAATTTGTACAGCACGGATTTGGGGGAAGGGACAGACCTTGTTGAGGATCAGGTCATAACTGGACTTTCGTGAGGAAAAACACTTGCAGACATGCAGACCCATATGTAGGCATACAGGAGGTTTTTGCAGGCGTCTGGGTGTTGCGTTAGTGGTTTGACTAGGCCCACAATATCAGCAACGATTAAAGGACGAAGGTTGTTTTGGGTTCTTGTGAACTGAGAGGAGTTAAATGACTGAATAGATAGATAGATAGATAGATAGATAGATAGAATGGCCAACATACACACAGAACGCCTTCAGAGCTTGAGGCGGGGAGGGGAGGCACTCCGTCGAATATAGTTGAAATTATTCCTCAAGATAGTGCATTGATAACATATGTAAGGAGGATTCCGGATTTCTTACCTTCTCACAACGTTGGATTTGGAGGAGAGTCCGCCAACGATTATGGGAAGCAGACGGGCGGCGTGGGTGTTCTAGACGCATGGTTGAGAAAGATAAAAGGCGAACGTTCACGGACAGTTTACTCACTTGTCCCAGACATACGTCTGAAAACGGTACAGCTTCGTCGATGATTAAAGCAGACGATGAGGGGAAAGGAAATGTCAAATGCTTCTGATACTTTTGCTTGGACACAGTAAAAATCGTGAGTAGAGGCAGTTTCGAAAAATTATAGTGCTGTCACCTTTGCAGAGTCTATGAAGACTACGATTGACGAATCATTCGGTTGGACGAGATGGTATTCAATTTGGAGATTGAGCGTTCGAAATATTTACTACCGTTTGAAGATTTCCAATAAACCCGCCTATGTACCAATGGTGGTGATGGCCGTGGTGACGCAACAACACCAGAATGGCGAAGCGCACGAGATAGGCGTGGTATGCTAGACTTCCAAATAATGTGTTGCAACCTTGCGAGTGAAAATGAGGAAACAGAAGCAACCTAGCTCTATGCATGGAGCGAGCCACAGAGGAACCATCGTCCCCTTCCTAACACAGAAGGAAGTGCGCAATTAAGTCGCACGTGTGTACCACATGGTTAAAGGTAAGCGCGTGCAAAAATAGAGGTCCTTTATTTACGAAGGACTAGCAACTTGTGAGGGTGTTGGAAGACGCGGTGGATGTCAGTAATGGGTGCTACTACCGCCGAGCCAAGCTGACTCAACGCAGCCTTGAAATCGCGTGATTTTGACTACCGCAACACGCGATTGAAATAATAGCCTAAAGGTTGGACCGTAAATACAACCCCGTGCAAGACAGCGGCTTGTTAGTAGCACTTTCATCCAATAGGAAGGTTCCAAACGAAGAAGACAAGCATGTGGCGTCCAGTGCATACTAGAAACAGAGCCCCTAAATTGATTTACGTCCCACACTGTCGCTAAACGACCGGCAGGTTTGCCGAGACTCACTACCTGTTGAATAAGGCTTGTTGGTGGGACCGAATTAGATTCCGCTGGGTGAAGTTCGCAGGTTAAAAAAGTTCGTCCGAACTTTGGAGTCTGATTCCAGGCGGCGACCACGCAATTTGGCTGTCAAACATGCCCAAATTATAAGATGCGAGTGTCATGACTTATGGAAAGAGAGGATACGTCTTCTACTAATATTACCAGGAAACGAAAGCCACTCATAAACGTAAAACAATAACCGTAGGTAGATATTCGTGTTTCATGGACCGAAAAAGAGTATTTAAATGTAATGCCTACCTTGATTATAAACATTACTGCCTGAATACCGCTGGTAGACATGATTTTGGCGCTGTTCGGAATCAAATTCAGGAGGGTTTGCATTATGACCTCGGCGAAGTGATCAAAGCGGATACCCAGTTCCTGGGAGAGATACCTGTATGCAAATTGAGGGAAATTAGGTGGCTTTGGTTAGGCAAGACGAAACCCAGACGATACGAGTGCAAAATTAATTTTTAAAAATCTAGGAGATCTAGCCTTACAAACGTCCAATCACAAGGAAGTGGAGATAGGATGGGGTCATCTTTAAAGGAGAGGGTTCCGGTTGAACTATGCGACTTCGGCTATTAACTTAAGGCGGGACCGGGAAATAACTCAGTAGACGGTTGCGTGCGCAGACTCATTTCGAACTGCACACACAGTGACAAGCGCTCGGCCCTCAGAAATAGAGAAGGAGTCATTTCAGCCAGCTCCTCAGTGCCAAATCATATTTA